TAAAGAAGAGGTGTACAGGTCACAGTATATTTCAAAGACAATTGAAGCAAAGAACACTTGTGAGATATATTAAGTTGAGTTCGAAAACACTTGTATGTTATAACAAAAAAACAAAAAAGGCAATAACAACAGGTGTACATGTCACACATATTTGCAACACAATTGATGCAAGCAAATAACAATTGTCAGACAAATTAAAATTGAACATAGAAAACACTTGTAACAAACCATAATAAAAAATACTTACGGTAGTCCATTTTTGCCAACCATCAGCGTCTCCCGTAATCATCTTTTTATGTGGATCCCAACTCAATCCGGTGGAATTGGTTACCATGTTGTGAAACTTTCTCTAATACACCTTCATTCGTTGGTACTTACTTTGCAGTTGTGTCACTTTGTAAGGATAGAAAATGGGACACTGCTCCTTCAACTTCGCAAGAATGTGTCGCCTATTGATTCGGTGTGAACTTACCGGTTACACGGTTTCCCATCACAACTTTTCATCCAACAGAACAATGACAAAAGCGGCTTCATTTTCGGGAGGCCATTTGGCGTCTCCTTGAGTGCACTCAGTCGAAGGACCAATACCACCTGAAAATGACATCTACAATATGACAAATAACAAACCAAGTACAATGTTGTATGCTATGCTTCACATGTATAAATAATCTGTACTAATGGATAGTCGGGCAATCATATTTGCATTCCAGACAAACAAAAAGAAAGGTACGATAATAACAAATGCCACACTCAGAATTGGTGATTCACAGAGTTACACAACATATTCCCTCAACAATGAAGACAACAACAAACGATTGGGTGCCGTCTTTTTACCCTAGGTCCTACCCTAATTTTTTTTATACACTCAAACGAGGGCAGAAATAACCATCAACGAAGATTATTGGGTGCTGTCTCCATTTACCTAGCCCCAAATTTTGTAGCGAAGGTTTGTAAGATCAAACGTAATAAACTTCAACAATGTTTGTATAGCAAAATAAAAACAATCTCCTAACTACAAAAGTGCCCCGTTTCTTTTTTTTTTTCAATTTTTTCCATTCAAACAAAAATCATTCAGGCATGCGCCTTAAACGATATTTTTCCATAATACAAATCCATGGAGGAGAAGAAGGGTATGATCTACCTTTGTTGGCCGGAGTCTCTTCTTTTTCGGAGATGTGACGGAGACGCTACCGGTGCTTTCGGTAGTGTCTTGAGCCGGGATATCGGGTCTTCGTTCGGCGTCCGCTTCACGTGATGTCGCAGGATGATTTCGTGGAGGGGAGAGATCCATAGATGCTGAGGCGATTGAAGCCCAATTTATGGAGGACAATCTTGTGTTGATATGTTCCAGCTAACTTCGATTTGAAATGTGGAAGAAAAAAGTCAAAAAGATGAAGCATCATAATGAATGTTGCAGGAGGTGTTGGTGTATTGGAAGTGGGAAAAGCAGATAATTCTGACGGATACAAGCTCTTGTTGGGTTTTGTGGGCCACGAACAAAAGTCCTCTTTGTGATATCCAATCACGGTTTCAACAGTGAAAACCAGCCCAAAATGAGTAAAAAAATAAGCCCAGTTGATATCCAATCGCGCCCTATATTATTATTTATATTTAAAATAACATACACCACTTATACGGTTTACCATCTTATATTATAATAATTTTTTTTTATCAATTAATCATTTAACAACTTTGTAGTTGAATTGATCTAAATATCTTATTTTTAATTAATATTCAAATTTAATTTAATTTAGTATTTATTAAAGATATATATTTATTTTTGTATGTTTCAATATATGTGTCAAATCGAAGCTCATCAAGACATGATTAGTTTGGTATATTATGTATAGAAAAATTGATAATAAATAAAAAAATTGTTATCTTTTAAATCTACTTATAATTTAAGTTAGTACTTTTTTTTATATAATTTTAAAAGAAAGATTGAGGAGAAAAAGAAGGATTGAAGAAAAAATTTTATGCCTTATAAATTACGTCTAGAATAGAAAATGTAATATTAATGCTCTTAAAAATGACCATAACTATCTCGTATTTTTATGGCTATTCAAAACTTAATTATTAATTTTTTAATTGAGAATAAATTAAAATTCATTCAAGCCAAATGACAAAGCATGAAAAATTGCCACATAAGATCCCAAAGAATGGAAGTCTGCCACTTAGACTCAACACTTTCTAGAATTATATATAGGAAGGATATAAATTTTTAATCAAATAATTACATTTTAAGATTTTTTAGTGGTCAACAAGTCTTGGTCTAAAAACAGATAGCCCCTCTCTCTATCTAAAAAAACCCATCTTGCGAAGACAAACATGAAAGATTTTGGGTACCCCCTACGTTCAATGTTCGGACAACAGGAAAATATTGATAGGACTATACTTGTAAAAGCGAAAGCTTTAAGTATAAGTGAGAGAGTGTTAGTGTTATATACTAAAAGCTTGACTTTGGATGATATTACACTTTTGTCCTTTATGAATGAGAAACATGTTAGATTAAACAAATTCTAGGTTCTGCTGTTTTGCAAATAGATAGTGTGGATCGTCATCGGGCAAACTGAAGATAATTCTATCAGTTACTTATGAAACAAGAATAATGGTTCACAACCAAGATGGAAATGAACACCCCATCCGAACGGTTGTAGTGTCAACGGTACAGTTTGTCTTGACTGATTAATTGCACTAGTACATTTATGTATTGAACAAGATCCCAGAGAAGAGCAGTTCTTTTTATACTGGTCATCGTAAACGAACTAGGCCTCGGTTAATTACTGCGTTATCTTAACCCGTAAGATATTAAACATCATATATATGCAGTATATATTATTTTGATTCACATGAGTGAGGTTTAGTGAACTGGATCAATAGTCCTTGGGTAATATTGTTGCATGTATGATGTTCTGTTAGGATATTTACGGTCACCATGTACCTTTAGTTTGATGATGTCCCCGAAGTGAGTTCATGAAAGATTATTATGCTAAACCATGCAGGTAAATTAAATTCCGACATAGTAATAATGTGATGAACGAGCGTTAGCTTCGTGAAATAATAATAAATTTAATTCTTGATTATCAGTAATCAAATTAATTAATAGACATTATATCTTAAATATTGAGAGATAATTTGGGTAATTATAATTGGAGTCTCAATTGTACACGCACGCCGCGCCCCTCTCTCTCTAGATCTCATTCGAGCTTTATTTTCTTCTTGTTGCTCCATTGATACAAGTTGAATAGGTGTCTTGAGATATACAGTAAAAGATTCTGTGGTTATTGAGATACATATATATTCAACAACCCCGTGATCAGCCGGAGCCGATGATCACGACCTGAAGGCCGAGACCCGTCAACTCAACCCGCCGGAGCACCTATCGCGACCAAGCCAGAGCCCACGACCTGACGCCGCGACGCGCCTGCCGGAGCCGCGACGTTCCACCACCCCCGACACGGGCCCCAGCGATCCGACCCAACACCCGACACGACCCGATCGACGTGACATGGCCAGCTCCGCCTTTTCGTTCGTGTGATCCCGATCAGCTCGTGTTCTAATTCCGCTCAATTGAAGATCATCCAGATCACCATAAATTTTAAGCCGTGAGTTTTCTACGTCAAACATTTAGATCCGCTGCAAATAGGTTTACGTTTGCTATTGAATTCGTGATTTGTACATAACGAGATCCTCACCGATCCCAACACCCACAAGCTGAGAACAGAAACCCAGTCGAAGACGACCCCAGAAGTTAGACCGGTGCCCGGATTGTAGAAGAATGGAGCTCGACCGAGGGATAAGTTGTTAGGAATAACGAGTACAACAGCTTCGCAGAACGACGCTTCGACGTCTGGAGGACGACGTCGACCTACATGAACGTCGAAGCAGAAAGAAGATCTCAAAGGTCAGGAGGTGAGAATAGCCCAATTCGTGGTGGGAGTCCGACCTGGAGATTCGTCATGATCTGCCAAGAGATTGTTAGTGTTATATATTAAAAGCTTGATTTGGATGATATTACATTTTTACCCTTTATGAATTAAAAACATGTTAGATTAAAAAAGTTCTACGTTCTGTTGTTTTGCATTAGATAGTGTGGGTCGTCATCGAGCGAACCGAAGATCATACTATTAGTTACTCGCGAAACAAAAATAATTGGTTACAACCTAGATGGACATGAACACCCTATCAGAACGGTTGCAGTGTTTGGAAAGCTATTTACAAAACATGAGTTTCAACTGATATAAGTTGGTCAAACAACTAGTGTTTTAACTCAAAACGCTAAAAAACAAAAAAGCCCTTTAGATTGAATTAAAAAAAAAAGTAGAGTTATACTTTTATAATATTAATAAAAATATAAGAGTATAATATTAATTAAAAATAAGTGTGAAACATGTGGACCCATAAAACCCTCATCTCTTTAAAACCCTCATCTCTTTCCCTCCTCCCCCTCACCTCCCTCACTCGCTTTCCGGCCACCCCGTCTAGCTAGGTCTCGCCGGCGCCCGTCGTC